CAGATTAGACTGCCACTTTTCCTAGACCTGAACTTTGAGCATTTAAAATCCTATTGTTAATCACCCAACAACATTCAGTGAAAACCCTCGGTCTTATGAAAGGTTCCCAATTATTAAAGATCTTTTCTTTCTGGTGCCTTAAAAGTGAAAGAAGTTGTATGCCAAACTCTATAAATCTGCATGTTCAGACAGCGACAGAGTGTCTAGTACGCAGGCATGCTTTTCTGTCTGTCTGTGTGTGTGTCTTAGCTTTGTTGGCATTCGTTAGTGACCCTGTGTTTTTTATGCATGTGCACATTGATTTCTGCGTAGGTCTGCTTTTCTATCTTGATGTACTTTTGTCCTTCTTGCATGCATGCATATGTAGGGATCTTTTAGCGTTATTGGCATCCATGCTTGAATGCACACCTTCACATGCGCAGAAGTATGACCAGTGGCAGTACCTGTGTGGTGTGTGCGTGCAGAACAGAGTGTTCTCCAGTTTCATAAGTGAACTTTGGAACCCTTTGGTACACGCTGGACGCGGGCCAGTTTGTCCTAGATTGTTTACCTGCGTCTTGATACAATGACTGGAATGGCAAATCATGTTTACGCTCTTAAATGCAGCTTGGAAACGGGGAAAATGACACTGCAGATAGACAATTTGTCTTGCATACTGTGACCGGCTTCAAGTTCAAGAGTCACTTAAGTGGACATATTTCCTGTTTTTTCTCTTTAAAGACATCGTGAACCTGCTGTAAGGTTATTTAAAAAGAATCTTTGTGTGGGTAAAAATCTAAGACGATGATTGATTGGTTTCAAGCTCTTTATGGCAACCATTTCCACATACAATAAAAAGATGACAACAAATAAAAGAAAACTGCTGTCAGAATGCAAACTGAGCAGTTACTAAGAGGGTTTTCTTTTAATAAGAACTGTAAAAAGACAAATTTCCTCATTTCCACGCGGATGGAAAAACCCCTAAACTCTGTCAATGCAACATGTTGCAACACTGTAGATGTTTATGTTTTTCTGGTTCATATCATTTTGTTTTTAATGTGCGATAAGATATCACATCACGTTGCGTTTATTTTAATTAATCAATGTCACCACATATCCTGTTAAGTCAAGTTCTTATCTGTTTCATTATTCCCTACTCTCCTACACATCTACAAATGGACTGCGACCCAAATAATAAAACAAACACACTCGCACAGGCTGACAGTGAAGTTTAGAAGACTTACATCTCTGTATAAGGGGCAGGCATTTTGGCTCTTTGAGGGCAGGATAGGCTGGGGTTCCTTTAAACTCACAAACAACATTTCAGCCAATCGCAGCACAGTGCCAGCATATCACTGTGTTCCCATTAAATCTGGATCACACAACAGAGTGGATGTAGATCCTTCCCCTGGCTGAGTCACATCCTGAAATAAGTGCTCTTGTGCTACAATATAAATTCTGCTGAACTGAGAAAAAAAAACAAGTGTTTGAGGTTGTCTCAGAATTTAATTTGCCTTCAAAATGTAAACAATAATTAAATGATGGGATGCTGACATCTATCAAAGGCCTATCTAACCTCCCTTTCACTGGTGCCACATTTGAAGATTTAGGCTTCAAATGCTGTACAAAACTTTAAGCACAAGTTCAACTGCAGTCTTAATGACTGGTCCTAATGGCATCTCCATAGCTAAGGCAGACTTACACCATAAATATAATAAATACACCATGACAAACTATAAATACAATAAATACAGGGTGTGATGATTGGATATTCACGGAGCCTAGAATAACAAAAAAAAAAACTTATATGTTTTTTGCACAGATGCCAACATGCTCAAAGCTATGATCTATTTTCAATACTTTTCATGTAAATATACATACAAATACATGCATGCTCACACCAGCACTTACCAAAAAGATGCTTCCTTTTAGAATTGATACACTATCAGTAAAACATCAACAGAGTGTTTTAACATGATAGTACCCCGTTACTCATCCATGTGTTAGTTTAAATACTTAGATTAGGATCTCTCTGTTGATTAAACAGGCTTCCCCATTAACTTTCATCAGGATATATATATATTTCAGCTTTTCTTCTGAAGAAGATAAGGCTTCTACTCAACTGCAAAATATTTTCTTTGAAGTACAACGGTGGCCAGCACATCTGGCCTTGTCCTCGTCTGTCTCAGGCCGTCCATGAGATTCTCACCATGCAGACAGGCTGAGGAAATATTGTGTACACAGTGTCCTCTCACCCTTCAGCGCTTCTCTCCCGCATTTGATCCACGCCATACCTCTGTGAGCCTGCACAGACTGAATACCCCTGTGGATTTCTTGGCTTCAACGTTAAATGGTTTGGTGATACTATTTGGAATGGGGGGGAATCAAATTAGGTGCTGAATATACATGAGTTCCCTTCACAGCTGCACTTGTATCAGCTTTCCCTTTGAGAAAAAAGTCAATGTGGCTTTCCTCAGTAAATGCCTTTAATGCAACTTTAAAGATTGGGTATATTTATGGACTTATTTACATATAAACAAGCCTAATTTCATGCAGCTGCTCCACCGATTCCAAGTCTGTAGCAATCAGTCAGAGTTTTCAATAGCATTGCCTCAAGCTATAACACAAATACCGGGTAAGATCCCTGGAGGGAACATTAAAGGCCTGTATTCATTACAAATGAGAAGCGGTCCTCGCCCTGTTTCTGTTTGCGTTACTATTTCTGGTCGGAACACTTACAGTAGTGTGAAGTAGCCTGCATGTGTATGTGTAGGTGTTTGTTCCAGGAACAGTATGTGTGCTTAAGCAGTAGCTTTAATAATGATATTCTTTTACACGCTGAAAAAACTATTTTGCCTTTAAGGTGATTTAAAGTCTTGGGTAAACTGCACATCTCACCCACAGCAGATATATTACACATTATTCTATCATCTTTGTTTTGATATACGGCGTTTTGTATGATCTGAGTCATTCATGTGGTCTTGTTAAAGGAGAATAATATAGGTCGTTGGGCTTGTAGAGATCGGTGTAGCAGGTTGCGATGGATCCTCCTCAGGCTAATGGTAGGAACTTAGGAGAAAGCACCCGTGTCTTAGCTTCAAAGTAATTTTACCAAGAAATGAGTGATGATTTATCTGATATTTTCTTTCAAAAGACAACAAATGTCTGTATTTAGTAGCTTAAAAGAATCTAAAAAACGAATAATAGCTGAATAAAAGATGTAAGAGACACCTCAGAACATAAAGTAACTGAGGCAACATAAAAGGTTTAGAATTCTTTCGAGTTCTTTTGAAAGACTTACGACATATTTCTTTGGAAACTGTTTTCCATTTTGTTGCAAGGCGGTTTGTTTGATGCTCGTTTGTGTTAAAGCTGCAAATGTGCTTTTCTGTCATAATGACCGGGAATGACTTGTTTCAAATTATCCGTGGGAACTTTGTCATTGCTCCATCGTCGTGTCGCAGGTGACAAAGGATTAGCTTTAATACTCAGCGGAGAAGCCTGCTGGAGTCTGTGGGAACGATTCAGTGTTTGGATGACACTGACAGTGAGAGTTAGCAGGGTGTTCATCATCCAGTTAAATCCAGATCATGCTGACAAGGTCATACGCGCGCGAGTATGCACGTATGCAAACGTGTGACCAACTGGATTCATCAGCATACACACAGGCAAGCAAAACACAAGCAAACACATAAACACACACCAGAGGATGGCTCAATGAGGCCTAAGCTCCCTCCAGTGTTGTCCCAGTTGTTGGTGACTCGGGTCACACAGCTGCAAGCTCAGCTAGCTCAGCCTCAGCTGGAAAGCGACGAAGATGGAAAAATGAAGAAATCACAAGAAAGAATGTACATAAAATGAAAGGTCGTAACATGAATATGAGGAATAGTTTGAAGAAGATGAAAAGAATAATGATACTATAAAACATGCACGTGAAAGTGAGCTAAAAAGAAAAAGATGTTCATCTTTTCCTTATTGTTAAAAAGCTGCAGACTGCTCATTATTCTAGTCCATCAAGAATAAAAAGAATAAAATTATTTTTTGTAATTTTGCCTCTTTACACCATCACAGTAAATTTCAAACCAGTCAAAATGTGACTGAAGTGCATTTTCAGCTTTAACTCAAAGGGTAGAGCAAAAACATTCACGAATTACAGACAGTTTCATGGCCAGGTGAGGCCCCTTCCCTTGATATTTCATGACCACTAGTTACACTCAAGTACAGGAAAGCCAGAAGAACCTTTCCAGAAAACCTCTGAGAGTCTTCACAGGTCTGCAAAGAGGATGGACACATGAAACCAAAATGAACTTGTATCAGTTTAATGGGAATATAAAACAATGGAGAAGGAGAGAAAAAAGCTCATGATGTGAAACATCAATGCATCATCTGTGTGGCATAGGCATGTATGGCTGGCAGTGGAACTGGATCACTAAGGCAGCAGGATGAATTCTGAAATGTATGGGCGTATTCTCTCTGCTCACATTCACTCAGTTGCTCTATAACTGATCAGACAGTGCACGACTCAAATCATACTGCAAAACCAGCCCGAGAGTTTCTCAAGGCAAAGAAATGGGATATTCTTCAGTGCCCAGGTCAGTCACCTGATCTCTGCCCATTAGATCATGCTTTTCAGTTATTAAAGTTAAAAGTGAAAACAGAAAGACAGACAAACAAGGAGTGGATGAAAGTGGTTTCTACTGAAGACCTGACAGAGCCCACGGGCTGTCTTTAACTACAATAATTTTGTTCTAAGTATTAAACACAGTACTTAAATTTAGCATGATTCTATTTTGGTCAACTAATTTTGAACATCTGGGAATTGGGGACTATTGATAGAAATTATTAGGAGTAATAAAGTGTTAATAAACTACTTTTTCACAAAACCTATGAATTAAATCTGAAAGTCTGCACTTCAGTCAGATCTTAGCTTTGATTTAAAATTCACTATGGTAGTGTACAGAGATATAATTAAAAAAGTGACATTAGCCATCTAACTGTATTTACTTATACTGTATGCTTGCCAGTGACAGCCATGATTATGATGAACATCCTGTGCTAAAATCACATTTCTAATTGCTTACTAATGTTCTAGTTGCTGATAGGGTTGACAGTAAATCCAACCAACTCCTGACAAGTTAAACCTGATACTATCATTTAGTATCAACGGATGAATGTGTGTAACAGTCAACTTTGCTGCAGATCCACCAGACTGCAGTGGATTTCAGTGAAGCCTGTGCCCATATCTAGTCCGATGTCAGCATTCCATAGTTAGACAGATTAATGGCAGTGAACTCTGCAACCCTTTGTTCTGGGATGTGATCCAGCCATGCGAAGTGTCATCCACTAGATCCAGTCTTTAAATATATACATACTTTCACGTAAACACAGAATGTTTTTTTTATCTGTCTTGGATACATATTTTTTATTTTAAATGTTTCCATTATCAACAGAACAGGATATAGTATTGGGTAAACCCATAGTTCCTTTCCAGTTTGCACCCCTGTAGCGTTTTGAGAGATCACTAAACTGCATCCATACTAGTCAGAGAGTTTGCCATCTTTCAGAGTGAACAATATGGTGTGTCTGCATGTGTGTGCGCCTGTTCTCCTCTGCCAATGTCAGTGTAAACGCACTAAAACACAGATGGGAATCCTAAGGGCTACTGACTCGAACATACTGTTTGTGGGGGGAAGATTTGGGGCAGGGATATGAATGTTGCCTGACAGGGTTTCACCTGTGATATTCCCTTAACACAGTCCTCTGGGCCTCCGCTCTACTTCAGTATTTTCACAGTAAATTTAGCCGGAACATGTTGCTCGTTAGAATACAAGGTAAATCTTTACATTATGGCCTGAAGCTGTCTGACTTCTGCTGAGTTGCATTCTGGTGCCAGATGCTGCAAAGTCCCCACGCTTGTTAACTGCAATATACTGCACATCACCATTTCCTACAATAGTGCCTGTTCTTCTATTAGTTACGGTGAAAGCTACTGTAAATGAACTGAATATAATTATGTATTAGCTAAAATGAAATATAATAACAATTTCTGGTAAGCAAACCATTCAAACGGACCTTTATGTTGCCGTGGGAAACTGCATTAAGCCAGTAGTCCTTGTCTTGTCTTTTTAATGATAATGAACACAGGTTAGCACCCAGACAGCTGTTATAAAGCAAAGGAGGTTCTCTATCAAGGGACTAATCAGATAGGTACAGTTCCCTACAGATGGCGAGGACTACACATGTTCACGAACGCACACACACCTGTTTGTTGTAGCTTCTGATTTAGTGAGATTGGGCTTTTAAAAAACAAGCGAAGAAATGTTTCTTCTTTATACTATGAAGATCACAATTAAAGCCTTTAATGTAGATAAGTAATCCCCTCAAAGTTGATATTTTTTTGCCTGTAATTTAGTAAACCTGCTTAATACAGCAGCTGGTGGCTGATATTTATATCCCAGGTGTGTAATTTCTTCCTTTTTTCCTCTTTCTGTTTCACTGAAAATCAATCTAGGATTTACATCATCACTGCTCTTCTGAAATTATACGACAGCAAAAGTCATATTTACATTTTCCCCCCAAAGCTCATTCTTATTCTGTTCATTTCTTTTAAGAGACGGGGAAACACAGTTATTCAAATTTCTTAAAGTTACTTAACACCACATGTTGTAACATGATCGACTGTCTGGTCGGTAGGAAGATTACTTTCTCGAGACATGTAATTACAGGGCACCTTTGGTGTGGCGGAAAAACAAAAGCAAGGGGCTCAAAAACTGGTTGGCACACTGTCATCTTCTTGCTTACTGCAGGCAAATTGAGAACTATGTCAGGGGGTTACATAAAAAGTAAACACTACATTAAGTGGGATACGTAATCCATACTTTACAGGACAAAAATGCCCTGAGCTGCACAAATGTGACCTTGTAAAACTGTAGGAAAGCAGGTTTCCTTGCGTGACCTTGCAGAATACACAGTGATTAAATATTACAGATTTAACATGAACTGCTCCTGAACTGCTCTGTACAGTAAAGTAAGCAGATCTGGAGGAAAGCTGTCCAAGAAAAACAACCCTGAATGCTGATAGAGATCTGTGATTGTTTGACACTGTGAACTGAGTTAACCCAAAATTCCTCTGCGACAAGGAAATATAGATGGCAATTTGTTAATTTCCAAGCAGTGTGGTAAAATTAACCGACCAGATTATCAGTGCTGACTAAAAGCTTATTGCCTTTATATTTTATTCCCTTAAAATGTGCCACAGACTCCCATTTCTGGATGAAGATGGATGAAGCTTTCTGTCTGATAGCCCTACATATGCACTGGAGATTTGCTTGAAGAACTGGTTTCACATACTGTCCTGTTGTGTAAAACCACACTCGTCTGTGTATCACAGTCTACAGACTATCAAATGTCTTGTCAACAGACTGGATTAAATGGAGACAGACATGCGAGACACTTACATGGAGCTGTCAAATTAGAAAGAAACTAGTTATGCAAAGCGTGGGTTCATTTTGGTGTTACACCTTTAACAACAGCAGTAGCTCTTCAAACATTTACACCCTTTGATTACAATGAAAGCATACTGCAGTTGACAAACCCAGCAATTAAAAGTACTTTGGGATTTTTTAACTCAAGTACATGATAAGGCATGTTGCATAAGAGGCAGCTGAGCTAAGTTATATGCAAATTATAAGGAGTTGTGTAATGAGGTGTCCAAAAAACTTGTTTTGTGGTGTAAAGGTTCATTACATTAACAAGATTGTTTCACATCATAGGAGAATGGCCCGATGATATTTTTATTGCACTTATTATGGCCGATTACATGAGGTAAGGAGACAGGCATGATGATTGTTCCCTTTAGGTGCAGTCAGAGAAATACCTTTTGCTTTGTTTGCCTCAAAGAGGCACTCCAGTGATTTAGAGATGAAACCGCTGGCGCCATTTCAGCAAACTGGCATTTTCATTGTAACTCTGAGGCCATTGTATTCAGCCAGATTGGAGACGCATCATACAAGTGTCAGCCTGAGCATGGCACTCACAGCTATGGCTGCATATCCAGAGGTTTCGCCAGACCTCAATTGTCTCTTTGTGCTCTGAGAAAACAGCTGCTGAGAGCAAACAACAGCAGAACAGTGAGCTAACACTAAGAGGGCTTTCGACTCTTGAACAGCCTCTTCATTTGGAAGCCAGAATGGGACAGTCTAAGACGCGTCCTGCTGAAGTTGCCCCTCTTGGGGCACGACCACCCTCTCCTAGGTCGGTGTGCGCCCTCCGGCTGGCCGAACAATCCCAGAGATTCTGCTGTCACTACCAGCACTTCAACTTTCCTGAGAGACCTATGAGCTACTCACCCCCTTACTCACCGAGTCTGTTCAAGAGGCCAGATCGGCGGTAAGTGGGGGCGGCCGAGGACAGTAGGAGAATTTGTCTTGCTTGCGGTGTGGGGACATTTGCCAGGCTCGACAGTAACATGTGTCTGTGACAGATGCGCACGCCAAAGGCGGTTAAAGAGAAGACGAGCTCTGGAGGCTGGCAGCTTGTCAACATCTAAATGATATAGAGTTGTCATTGCAGTATTTTCAGCAGTTACAATCCTTAAATGAAATGATTGCCGTTACAGTTTTCATAATGTTCAATCTGCTCATGTGGTGAGAAACAGCACTAGAAGAAAATGCTGCAGCTTCAGGCTCATTATCAGATGTACTTATGGGGATTATAAGAGTAACACGTTCGTTTGGGGTGTTATTTTGGACTGTTGCTCGTGGTGACTTTGAAAAATGGATTTTTGTGCTCGCGGCACTGAAAGCGGGAAAAGTGATATCACTACCAGTCCTTGGATAGCAGTGTCAATCCTGTCATCACTCTCTGCCTGCACAATATATCACATAAAGAAATGTTACATTCAATACCAGGGCATGAATTTATTGAAACATCTCATGAGAGAGACCAAGGCCATGTGCCCTATTGTTATTCATGGCTCAAGAGTCTGAGGTGATGAGATAATAACGACTGCCTCTGGGTGTCCTAGTGTATGAATGAGTTCAGTGTGAATTCAGTATTCATTGTTTGTAGCTGTTCTTGTTGCCCACACTGCCAGCTTCCTCTGAGATAGCCTCTGGCTGCAACCTTTGGCATGCACGAGTATTGTCGGGCCACACTCTTATCCACGCTATGCATTCCTAATTGGCCCAAAAAGAATTTTTCTTCTGTATATATTTTCTCTGCAGTATTATGAATAGCTTCAATTTGACGGGGAAAAAGTACAACTCCCAAAATGCTGTTCATAACAAAAAGCTGGAAGGCTGGTATTATGTGACGGCCTTATTCTTTTGAAGCCATCAGTACAGATGAATCATGGTATTATATAATGGAGTTGGCTCTTGCGCAGGAGACATCTGATGGAAACTGTGGGCCATCGCCTAGCTCCAAAATGACTCAGTGAATTGGGCACACGCCGAAATGGTTAGGCATTAGGTGTTCCACGGAAACACGAGGGTATTTATTTTTTGAAAAGGCAGGAAAAATCTGTATTCCTCTTGAAAGGAGGAATTTAATCACTATTTTCCATCACTTAAATTTGTATCAGAGCGATTCTAAAGCTTCTGTAGTAGGAAAAGCAGGAGACTCAGTTTACACTGTGATCATCTTACCTAATGCGGTTCATTGGTTATACTGTGCTGGAAGGCTCCCCACTGTGTAGGTCCTATCTGTGCATCTCAGCTGAAGACATTCGCTGTGACTCCTTCCTCCAAAATGGGACTATCACTGCTGGGCAGGGTAATTCACCTGTCTCTCATTGCTCGAAGCGGGCTGGATATTAAACCTGGCAGCTGAACTGTCGCAGCACGAAATCTGAGACGACAGGCACGATGGGCCCTAATACCCAGTCACTGTGCTTTCTGCTAAGCCTTGTTAGTCCAACCAGAAGTCAGCCCTTCCACTTTAATTGTTTTGTTATGTAACACAACTCCTTCTTCTCCTCTTTCAAAAAAACTGAAGGAAAAAAAAGGAATTTGGTTTTTAAAGTTATAAAAAGTTAGAGGTCTGGGATTATTTAATATTTTAAATGCAGGTCCACGGTCTTTAGGCATGTGTGATCATGCAAAAAATATCTTTGGACTCATAATTGAATTATTTTATTCAGATAACATCCTAATTTTTTTTTCTGTCCTTATTTAAATAGACCTAATATCCTTTTAAAAGATATGACTGAAAGGATGTGGATTATGAATGAGCAAAATTTAATAGAGTTGATCCCCTCAGCAGGGAATCTGCATAAAAGTTATCCATGGTTGAATATTCCACAAGTTGATGTGCCTGTAGAAGAATTGTTATGCAGAGACTCTTTAATAAAATTGTAATTGGCTTATTATCAGTATTGAATCAGATAATTGCAACAACAAAATGGAACATAATGTGACAGCTGAGAAGTGCCGGGAAATTACATTAAAGCTATTAAAACCTGCAGCGAAAACAAGGTCTATTACGCAATAATAGCAGTGGGTAATGCGATGGAAAAAATGGGATGACAGCAGGTGTTCTCTCTCTGTATCCTTTGTAGTTATCCTATGTGACAAATGACTTATTATTTTATGCTTTGTGTGGATGCATTTGAGCTTCATGTGGTAACATGCCCGTTCGAAAAGGTCTCGCTTAGAGAGCGTTGCAAATTGATGTACTCCAGTAAGAGGTTGTTGATGCTTGATGTAACTACGCAGGGGTGGTCAATTAACTTTCCCAAGGGGGCCACATGAGAAACTGGGACTGTTGTGGAGGGTAGTACTAATAAGCTGAACTCAATTTTGCTCAATATTAATTTTATCACTTTAAAAGCTTGTTGGTACAGCCCTCCACAACAATCCCAGTTTCCCAGTGAGCCCCTTGGGAAAATTAATTGCCCACCTCTGCTATAGAGGTACAGATCACCCATTAAATATCCTGCAGTATGTTGTTTATTGGCTGATACAATGGACTGTAGTGTGATAAAAACTAAAAGGAACAAGAAATGATGTGGTAGGCATATACCATACGAACAAGTAGGAGCTAAGTCCTTAACTATAAATATAGAATGCCATTTGAGAATTTCCAGAACTGGAAAAACAACCTGGAAATGTACGGTGTACGGAAAATTCCCAAGGAAACACCAGGTTCCCTCTAATTAATTTTGTTGCCCAAGTGCACTGTAGTCTACATTTTCACCACTAGAGACCGGTAGAGTTCAGACATAGACTGATTGGAAATTTACCTGTGGATAGGACGGAAAAGTACCTATAACATGTGCATATGGTACGTGTGGATGGTGCAGGACATTCCGTTAGAGCATATACTGTGAAAAACTCCAGAGTATCATCAACCAGTCATGGGAAAAAAATGTCAGGTTTTTTTTCTTTTACATGTCGGTAACACTGTCAGTACTGACATGTAAAGTAACTCGATAAAAAAAATAAATTAAAAAAAAACAAACAATCTTCCTAAGAAGTCACATTAAAAATCACTTGTTAAATAAGCCCGTTTAATAAATTAGCCATATGACAGTATAAGGAAAAACTTTTTGGCTTTATTTACATCAATCGATGGTTTTAATTTGCTGCAAGAACGAGTAACAGTGCAGGCTAACGTGTTCAGATAGTTTGTTTTCTACTACTTGTTGCAGCTTTGCGGATTTCGGTCTGTGGGTTCGCAGAGACTCACGAGAAGTTCAGCAGCGGGGCAGAGCTGACGCTGCCTTCAAATGCTGACGTTTAAGCTCGGCATTTGGAGTAGTAACTGTTTACTAAAAGGGTAATGAAACCTAATTGTTTATCGTGACTGCTTTGCTTTAACTGGTGCACGGCTAAACTATCAAAAAGGTTTACTGAAGAGAAGTGATTCAAGACCCACATCAAGCTTATATTTCTTTCATTTTAAAGGGTTATGCTTGCTTATATAAGTGATACAAGTATTATATACCATATATATATATATGCAATAATTATCATATAGCCATGTTAATGATCTGATAAAACAGATAAAAAGAAGGATGCAAAATTAATGCATCACTTTAGTATTTGGGATTTTTATTAGTTCTGAACGTCATTGCATCATGCTTATCCTGATTATACTGAACCTGCAGAGGAAAAAAACATAAAAAGTAGTTAAATGAAGACCAAACACATAATCAATGCTACAGCCAATCTTATGATCAAGGTATTGAATGATCACTACGTGACCTATGGTTTAACTATTATGTCAAAAAAACAACAAAAATGCTGAGGTCGTGGCTGTTTATCAATCTCACACTGTTCTTGTTTTTTGCTCATGACACTGGAAGGCACCAAAAAGAAAAAAACTGCCCCCCTCCCTTCACCCCTCCTTCTCAGCTTATTTGACTAATTCATGCACGCGTCATGTGACGTCAGAACGGCAGTCGTTCAAATACTGGCCGGTGGCAGAAATAGCATCAGACAGTCGCTTGTAAAAATCCGCGAAGCTGACAAACCTGACACAGCACTGCGCTCAGCCCGAAGCGAGTTAGTGCATCGTTGCTAAAGACGAAACAAACCCGGATCCCTATTTAGCTGATCAACCAGCCGCAAACGTGGCGAGAAATATTATCCAAACGAGTCTGGTACTCAACATGAGCACGGAGATGTTCGCTAAAACACCAATGGAGGTTGCCGTCTACCAGTTGCATAACTTCTCCATCTCTTTCTTCTCCTCTTTACTCGGAGGAGACGTTGTTTCGGTCAAACTTGACAACAGGTAATTATCTTTGCGATATGGTCATCAAATACTCGAATGCGGTTCTTTTTTATTTATGTGTGAGGTTTTACCAAACGTTCGTCTGTTTTGTTCTTTTTCTTTTATTTCCTCATTCTGCTTCAATACTGAATGCTTTCCTGGTGGTTCAAAACACATTTATGTGCTCGATTTCTGATGTTAGAGTTTCCAAATGCTTTCTGCTGAGCTGTGTTTCTCTCTGCTGCCTTTGTGGACTTTGAACAGATATCTGTTCTGCCCTGTTTGCCTTATCGCTAGCTGGCTGCCGCATACTCAGTAACAAGGTTACACTGAAACCTAAATAAAACCCTAATCTGACTCCAAAAGCAATTAACTGGTATCTTGGCAAAAGTAGCCAAGATACCAGCGGAGCAAACGGTTTTCATTTCCGTTTGGAATGCTTTCTGTTTCACCTTAGTAACCCTGGGAATTCCCAGAATTGGAGCGACATGTTTTCTTTGTTTTTCTTTTGTGGAATATGAGGTGACTTGAAGAGTTTTAAGTTGCAGAATGTTAATTAATGGGCTCTATTTCTTCTCTTTTGCAGTGCCTCTGGTGCTAGCGTTGTGGCCATCGACAACAAAATCGAGCAGGCCATGGTAAGCTAATAACACACCAGCCACTACACCGAGATGCATTACACATGCATGCAGTGTACAAGTAGCATAGCTGTTTCCTTCAAAGTGATAATAACCACAAAGTTAAAATGTTAATTGTGTATCACAGTAGATATTTTTCCTCCCAGACCTTAAAACTGTGAGATTTTGCTAGATTTCTTTACTAAAGGTTAATTCATACATCAGAACAGTTATAATCAACGACCGCCCAAAATACAGTTATGTAAAATCAGCTCTCTGTGAAGTCTCTAGGAAGTCCCTGCAATGTGACCGTAGCACAGGCTGCTGCACGCTTTATTGCCGTGCAAAGTAGTAAACGTGCAGGAATGTGCACCTTTGAGTTAAGTAACATGTGAACTTTATTGTGCCTGCTAGATCACAAGAAGTACATGTGAGACTAGGGGTAAAATATAGTAGCAGATATCCTCTAATGGAAAAACTTGGCTGGCAAACCCAGTCCTTCTTTTAGACTGTGCAAGCAATCAAACCAGCCTTGTAGGCTGTAACAGTTGCTCCGTGTTATGTACCTAAACTAACCTCTCTTCTTTTGCTATGACAGGACCTTGTCAAGAACCACCTGATGTATGCAGTGCGTGAGGAGGTGGAGATCCTCAAGGAACAGATCAAGGAGCTGGCTGAGAAGAACAACCAGCTGGAGAGAGAGAACTACCTGCTGAAGAACCTCGCCAGTCCAGAGCAGCTGGAGAAGTTCCAGTCGCGCATCCCGACGGATGTGCTGTTACCCCTAGACAATCAGAACATCCAGGGCACTCCGGAACAGCAGCAGCAGCAGCAGACCTGCAACCACAGCACTGGTTCTGCTGTATAAGTGGCTCTGCCTTGGGGCGGGCAGAGCCACTGTCTCTTTCCAATTATGGACCTCCATTTGAATGAAAGCGTCATTAAATCGCTGCCGCAGAGATCTCTTCAAAACAATGAAGGTGAAGCATCTGGGCTTTAAATGATCGATGGGACACAAACGAACTGTTGACACTGATAAGCACAGACCAGAACTGAAGACGCTCTGACCGGTGCCATGTCAGGCCCGTCCTCTGATACCGTCCAGCTTTTTGTCATGTTCCCTCTAATGTAGACGAAAGTGTTAAGAGTAGCGAGAAGGTTCTGACTAGACACAGTCGAGAACTTGCTGACAGAGGGCGGCTTTCCCTGCCTAGCCTAACCCTTCCAATAGGTGAGAAGGTGTTGATCGGGCTGGCCCTGCAGGTGCTTGACTTGGAAAAGTGTGGAGAGTTTGCTCTTCCATTACTCACAGGAAACCCATCTGAGACGGCCCTCCAGGTCTCAGTGAGAGGTGCCCCATTGCGTGGATTTGTCTCAAAAGCCTGGCAGCAGTACATTTCAGCCACATAACAAAGACTTTACCTGTACCGACAATGTATTGCTGATGTGTTTGTGTACATCCGAGCATAACACCAATAATTAACAGAATAAGCTGGGCAACAGAGGTAGAGGTCAGTACAGATTAATGTTTTTAGAGCTGGTGAACCGATCAGTATACTGTTAATGATTCAAAAAGCGTAATTTTGTATTGCCTGCAGTTGGGGCTTGCTGCTTATGGGGGAAAATTAATCCTGCTCTGTTTTTGTTTTTGATTTTGGAACAAAAATCAGTCGTTTGTAAAGTAGGAACATTGTGTTTTTTCTTCAAACGTTTCTTATTTTGTAATATATGGTGCATATCTGTTTTCCTAACTCTTGACGGAATAACTACAATGTACATAGAGTTTAAAAGTCCTGAGATTAACATAGTATAGCTTACTTGCAAGCAGACACCTGCATTTCTCGCTGCAGATGCACTCCTGACTGTAGCAGCGTCATCGAGCATCTGGCCTGTTTACCTGCTCAGATGCCAACTCGAAAACAATGGCATGACAACAGTGCCTGTAAAGAAAGAGAGGAACGCATTCTCACACTGTCCTCAGTTGCTGCTGTTGTTGTTGTTGTTTTCTAGCTACCAAAGACTCGTTATGTTTTCCACACAACAGCAGACGCTGAGCAAACCAGGACCATGTGCAAAACTTCACAGGGAGAAGTCTTCGTCGTAACTAGAGCTGACCTTTGTATTTGTTTTGTAAAAGATGACTGTATTGTTGCTGTAATGTATCCTCAAAAGAGTTGTTCACTAGATGTTTGGATACGACTGCACATTTGCAATAAACCTTGTTTACATTATAAAATAAGCTGACATTGTCGCTCTCGCTCTTTTTCTTTTTCTAAATTAAGTCTGCCCTTCGGTTCATACTATATAGTGTCTGTAGTTTTTAAGTAGGGCTGGTAGTGTTAGTACTAAGAATATCATCCCATCACTAAAATGTCATGTGGTACCATCACATGCTTTTGTTGCTGAATTTTAGTAATAAGAGTGGGATACATTCAAGAATGGCTATCTTTAAAATGGATTTCCTTAATGTACGTGACGTGAAGTTGCATACTCTGTAATGGAGAAATCTGAATCTGGGAGGAAAAACTCAGTAGCTGCAGCAGTAGACTTTATTTTCAGGGGCAAAAGTTGAACAGCTGTGAAATCCGTTCATCTGAGTTTCAGAGTAAACAACCCTTCAACTTCTGTTCAAACTAGCATGGCTTTCCTGGAATTTGTAGCCTCTTCATCTCAGTATCTGAATACATTGATTTTCTATTGAATTCTGCGTGCCCTGTTTGTGTTTATGAAGTCTGACAAACAGCATGTGATTTGTGAAATTGTGAAATGCATGGATCTCTGGGGTACTGCAGCACAAGTTTGTGTTTGCTATTTATGGCTGCTCAGAGTTGGAGTTTTTTTACCCCTTGACAATTTGAGAAAGTAACTTATTACTCACTCTTTATTTTTCCAAAGTCAAAACCAGCACGACCGCTAATGACAGCGAAGTAATAATAGTTAGGTTGCATGCAGATTGGAATCTGGCAGAGTGAAAAAACAGTTTGTCCAAGAAGCATTTTCCTTCAGACGGACTGGCAGCCAGTCACAGCAGCTTGTGTGCAGCTACACATGTTGTGGCTTCCCTGGTACGCAAACTAGACTTGCATAGTTGAAATGAGGAGACATGTCTCTGGCCCACAACCATCATCACAGATCAGATTTCACAGTTGTGAACACGGCATTGTTACCAGTGCTTCCTTATAAACAAGAGACTGTGGTCTTTCCAGGTGTTTTGTGTCACAACAACCGATTTTATGTGAGGTGGAGGGTCCTGATCAATATGTCTGACATGCATTCTTCATTTAATAGGTAACAGGAGGGAGGTGCAGTTTATTGACTCGGAGGGCATTTATACTATGTAAAAAGGAGTTTGGAGACAGGTGTCTATTGACTTCTTTTATACAAGAAAATTAGAGTCAGATCCATGCAAATATGAATCCCTGTGCATTTCAGCCAAAAGAGGCATCATGATGGATCCACTACAGCAGGAAGTGGTGCCATAATTTAACCACACTTGTGCTAATGGCTGGTGCTCTGTAGAGGAAAAATTATATTTGGCAAAGTCAGTGGAGTCAGCATACCAAAGAGTGCAGGAACTGAAAAAAGCCTGAAGTTGATTACACCTTTGGCTTCATTTACCATAAGGTTTAGAAACACTATGTTCTGGGAATAATGTGTTCATTTAGGAAAATTCGGGCAAATTAACCATGAAGATTTATGTATTCATACCTCACTGCATCAAATCCATAAAGACCTAACCCTTATAATAAATCATATTTTGTCATAAAAAAAAATACTGTATGTCAAACATTAATCTCTTGAAGGTAATAATCTTACCAGTCTACTTGTAGAACATGTTCTGGTTCTTTTATTTATTGACCACATTTCAAAATCTTTTTTAGGCTTCCACCGGAATTTCTAACGAAAGGAAGAAAACTAGTCCAAATCAAAACATCAGTGATACCACACTACTTCCCTTGGAGTTCATTTTAATATTAAAAGCCTGGGAATAACCTTAGGTGTGGAAGTAATCCTTAGACTGCTTGAACCCAGGCGGCCCAGAGACGAGCTTGTGTTGGATTACCAGTGTTATGCAATACAACAAAAAAAGAACATCTGTTCCAGATGGAAATTCGGGGGTGGCGTTGGGATATGTCAGATCTGCCTCAGTGTGGTCGGGGTTGCATGCAAGGGGATAATTTAGACGGACTGCTTTTCATGCGAACGTATACAACTTGTGCGTCTCCTGAATGTCAGCATATTTAGCACGACAACTTTAAAGTCAGAGTTTAATGAAAAATACGTCAGATTTGGACTCCGTGTCATACTGCTATGCAGTCTCATGCCCTGCACATTTTTGTAATACAAACAAAGAGTCGCTCTGCTTTTTCCAGAAGAAGCAGTTCAGAAGAGTTGAAAATTGTTGACGGCAGATGGTTATGTAAAAGAGAAAAAAAATGCTGTTTTGCTTCTGCACTTCTGAAAACTGTAGCGTGAAGGATGAAAGACTTTATTTATGTCTCAGCTTTTTTTGTGTGTGTGTTTGATAGACCTTTGACCTTCTTAAAGCAGGTTTAACTGTTCATGTCTGAAGCAGGGTGGACAAAAACAATAATGTACAAGTTAATTTTGACATTTCTATTATTCAGTGTGTCTGCACAGTTATTATACCACTGCTTAGATTGATCCTTTCTCTGCTCTCTGATCATGACTTTGTGTCAGCATATGAAGTTCTCCCATACATTGGTAAATTGACACAGGAGACCGAACCACCTCAAATGTACAAAGTCCAACCATGCAGACAAACAAGCTGCGACAGCCCCTGCCTAACTACCAGTGTGTGGTGATGTGGCTAATAAGTCTCCCCTTGTGTTCCTGAAGGTACATAATAATGCTAGGCTGATATAATCATCTGATTTCGTGCACCTAGTCTGAGGATTCAAGAAGACTAAAGCCAATCCAACTAAGCTCTCCTTCCTCACCCACATGCATCTGTATGTTCCTCTGTTGTTTTTTGGGGTTTTGTAATATATCCTCCAAAACACCCTACATTTCACCATGTTTAAATGGCCACATTTACACATGCAGGTAATACTTCTGCTAAACATGTGCTATTTTTTTCTTTGCTTTATATTATCACGATTAAGGGTTAAATTTATCGTCCACCATTGCCCGTTTCTGTTTTGTCATGGCCTTGGATCCAGGTCATGACATAGGTATTTCAGATCAGAGACACCGGCTAGTGTTGGTTATGCTTTGAGTCATGTGAATGAATGTAGCTATGTTTGTTCTCTCTCACTTAATTTGTACTATTATACAGACATGAGACGTGTGTCTGGGTGGACTCAACAGAAATCTTCAATATTAAATTTTCAATATTAAATATGTGGTCAGAGTGGACAATGGTGGGTCTTTGAAAATGTGTTAAACGTGTTATTTATTTATCAAATCCAAATTTGGATCACAAACCTCTGAAAAATTTCCTTTTTTTTTCTGGGAATTCCTTAATGCGTGAGGATATTTCAATTTGCAGACCTGATTATGGGATTAAATGCTCACTAAAATTCTGTGATTCACTTGGTTTGTTTTCAAGTTTTTTCTTTTCATCCTTTTTTTAAAGTTTACATTTTTTCAATGTTTTTGTTATATAACAAAAGAAAATGAACACATTGTAAACATGCATTTCTGCTGTTTAGATCTTGACTGTGGAAGTGCTCTGGCAACTTCTTGTTTTTTTGCATGGGGGCATCAGCTGCTGTTCTACCTGATCAAAGCCACTTTAGGAATGCAGACAGGTCACGGCATCTTATTCATAAAGGTCCGAGGTCATGAACCACTCATCTGATTCATGGTCATACCCCAGTTCAGGGCACCACTGCACAGCAAGAGCCAGCACGTGAAGCCCCAAAAAGTCATGCTTTAATATGTGACATGTGTCTGGTGGCAAAGAAAGAAAATGCTTGCATTATGTGATCAATACAGATAAGGTAGTCTGTAAAACTGACCAGGTCATGTGCTTTTATAATTATATGCACCAGTCATAAGATTTGTTAATTAGTGGCTAATCATAAAAAGCCTTAGCTGGAAATAAAATATTGATATAATAATCACTGATCTAAATGAATGAAATAAAATAGACAAGGAGAAATTCGGAACTTTTTGTTTCTTTTCTTTTGAATACATTTTTAAAACCAGTGGTTCTTAGTCCATTTTGTTAATGTCCACTGGATTTAGTGAATGTGGATCTGTGTACTGTGGTCTTTCACAGTGCAGCAGGTGGTAATCAAGTGCACTGACATGCACAGAGAAACAGATGAACATAGCGGCAAATGGGTTTTATGTGGAAATACAGTAGATGAAAATGTCTATGGTTGTTTTTCTTTGTTAAGTTTCATCAAGTCTTATTAGTATACACCACAAATATTGCTTGGTAAGTTCTTCAGAAGATTTTAAGATTTATTATTATAAGATTATGTGTTGTAAACATCTGTCTTTCTCTGCTCAAGCTTTGGCCTGTGGCAAGAGGGAGAGCCAGTGTGGAAAATCAACTCCAGACTGTGCTGGAAATATGTAGATTTGTAGAATAAGGAGCTGGAAATAATATTCATAAATAATAAAAATACTGAATTATTAACCTCAAAAATGAGTGAATTATTTATATAGTCTTTGATTAGAACAGTTTAGTGTGTAGGTTTATTAGGGATCGCTTCCTACATCTCCGAGCCACTCAGCCTTGATATGAATACATAAACTTCAAAATATGTGTTTAGTGTACTGTGGGCTGGTGTTGGCTGGGTGGCCATGGTTACAAGTTATGTCAGCGCACGCACACACACACACACACACACACACACACAC